ACCTGTAGTTCCTTGCTGAGAGCAAGGGTTGCCTTGTGCATGTTCTCTTTACCTTCACATTAGCTTGCAACAAGCACGTGTGTTGAGGAACAGAGTAGGAAGTGCTCACTGGATTCTTCAACAACTGCTGTTATTATACAACATATCTGGCACTTCCTTCAACGCTTGTGATTGGTTATATATTTATTTTAACCTAGTTTATACTCTATATTGACCAGTGAGAGGTAAAGAGGTAAACAAATACACATAATTGTTGTCCTTTTTTGTTTTGTTATTTCCTCCTGCTGTTGAATAACTTCTTGGTGTTTATTAAGCCATATGAATAATCATAGATTTAATGTTTTGCCAGCACACTCCACGGGTGAATGGTGAGATACCTGATGTAAATGATGCAACCTTAGACCATGAGCGGCTGTCTGAAAGGGTGTGATTTTTTCATCCACCCTTCATACTGTTTCTTATTCATTCTTGGACCACTTGGCGCATTTCACTTTTAGCTAGTATGTAATGTGATGCACCCTTCATACTGCTTCGTATTCATTCTTGGATCACTTGGTGCATTTCACTTTTAGCTATTATGTAATGTGGCGGGCCTATAATTGTTATCTATTTTTACGTGGTTGCCTTTTCTCATTCCTGTAATGAATTTAGTTTCAGTTGCTAGCATCCTTTTTGTAGATTTGTTTTGAGCATGGCAAGCATATTTTTCCACGTATAGACTTTGATTTGTGCTGTTTAAGTAAAGATTGTAAATGCTGGCTTGATGGCATCTAATGTGCATATTGTTAAAATATTGAATAAATGGTTTTTACCATCTGATTTCAAAACATTGGTTTCTTTTATATGCAAAGAGTATGGTTTATCTTTTGTTTATCCTAATAATTGGTTTTCTTTCAGGTTGACAACATATGGTTTAGAAGAACTGCAAATCGAGGGCGATGGGAATTGCCAGGTGTAGTAGCTACAATTACCAATTTCATTTCTTCAAATGAACTGTTTATTTGTAACTGTACTAGCATGGATGTCTGATTGAGTCCTATAAGTCACTGTGAGAACTCCATCACAGAAGTGCTTACAAAGCATTGGTTTGATTTATTTGACAGTTTCGAGCATTAGCAGACCAATTGTTCCGCAGTCCAGATTACCACAAACATGTGAGGAAGAAAATAGTCAAGCAGGTATTGTTGATACATCTCTACACATGACTTTACTAATTCATCATGCCTGGGGATGGAGAGGTTATGCATGTTGCAAAATGCTACTAATGGCCAACTTCTAATACATCCAAGTGTCTGGTGCTGTGCATGAGTCTGCTATATAGACTACATAGTTTATATATTTTCTATGAAATTGCTTTGTCATGCTACTATTTTCTTATCATTGTTTCATTTATCTTCCTTTTCAGCTAAAGCATTTCAGAAAATCATATGAGGGATATGTCCCCATGAAGTACAGAAGCTATTTGAAGAAGATGAAAAAGTTAGATTTCTATGGTGATGCATGCTAGTTTTTTTCCTGCAAAAAATGGAAACCCTGCTTACAAAAAATTAAGCTGCACTCTAATTCATTTTGTGTGTGAAACCTTCCATGATACTAGGCCAGGGGAGTGGGGGGATCATCTAACTCTACAGGCAGCGGCAGATCAAGTAAGCAGAAATCTAACTCTTTTTGCTCCTTTATTGATTTTTTCTAATTTATTGAATGGATCCATTTCCCTGAAGAATATACATGAAGCCTAATTGTTTTCGTTTTTTGTAACTATTATCTGCTTGTGTTATGCAATGGTTATCCCTTGACCTCTTTTGGGCATGAATTCAGTTTGGAGCCAAAATTTGTTTGGTAACGTCTTTCCGGGACACATGCTATATCGAGATCATGCCCAAAGACAAAAGTCCCACAAGAGGTAGATCTAAATCTTTATACCATATCCCAGAGGTCATCACAACATGTGTATCATGCTTATTGTTAAATGGATTTCTGTGTTAAATTTGATTACTGTAGAGTACATTGAAAGTCCAAATCTTATTTATTATTATTCTACCTTTGCAAGTCTGCGTGCTTTACCTGTCTTGAGAGAAGCTGGATACTTTATTTCCTAATTATCACCTCCTCTGCTTCTCAATGTTGTGGGAATTTTGAAGCTAACCAGGATAAGGGATGGGGAATTGAGAAGAAGAATTTTCCTAACAAAGATGGATCACTATAACCTGTTACATGTTTCAAAGTAGGCTATACTTGATTTTCCTGTTTTGTACTTTTCCTCTCTTCAAAGTAGGCTATCCTACAAAATTCTTTGCGGAAAAAATCTATAATAAATCTGGTCACCGCAGAAACAATTCTTAAGTTATCAAGCAAGTCAAGCTGTCTTTAACAATGAAATCCCCCCCCCCCTCCATTTCGCCGAGCTATCTTTTCATTATTCTCTACTTCCTGATATAATGACTGCTCTTGTTTCCAGAACTTTGGCTGAGCTTTTGGAGCGAAGTTCATTACAATTCATTGTATGCAACTGGAGGTGAGGGACAGACCAATAGTCGGAGCTTGTTTTACCCTCAGCACAGCAATATTTTTTTCAAACTAATAGCTTTAATGGATGCTGTCTATGCCTGCAGATGTCCCCACCAGAGTAGCAAGAAAGAAGCATTGGCTTTTTTAAATGTTTGACATGCCGGCATGAGATCAAGCATTGCCATATCCACTCTTCGTTTGTTCTCTATACATGTACATAATTTCCAAATAAGCAAGCAACTATAGAGTATTTAACTAGCAAATATGTAACTTGATATTGAATTCAACATTATATATTCATAGTTTTTCTTTTAATTCTTATGCTGAGGTCCTTGTTGGAGAATCCCGAGGAAAACTTTAGAGGAAGCTTCTTTTTTTAATCTTAAAAAACCACCCTGGTAAGAGCTCTTGGCCCCAAATATATACATATACTGCTTTCTTGATTCTTTCCACGTAGGATAACTTGTAAAATTCTTTTATTTTTTTGGTTTATAACATAAAAGAAAACTCAGCAATATTTAAGGTGTGTTTTGTTTTACAAGAACTCTTGGAATTTATTTAAGAGTTGTATATATTTATTAATCCCATGGAATCTGTTTAACAAATAGAAACTATAATATAGATTAAAAATCATTGTTGCATCAAATAGATTATTTCTTTTATTTAGCTCTAGTTGAAATCTTCTTTTTTTTTCAAATAAAAACCTAAAAAAATTAGCCCCTGGGCACTTTGCTTTCATTATCCCATGATTCCACGCGTTGTCTGCATGAGAATGGACCGGCGACTCGAGAATCTTAGAATACTGAGGTAAGAATGAAATCTATATTAAGAAAATATTTTTTATTCAGATAAAATATCAATAATCAATAATCAATGAAGTCTAAAATATTTTTTATAAACTTCCCGATCCTACAATTCGAATGTATGCCTCCGGAGAAGGTACGAATTTTATAAATTATTCAAGCCCGTTGTCCGTTGTTGGGGCAAAAGCCCGTTGTCCATCATTGGGGCAACAGCAATCTCTGCGTTTCAGTAAACAAATTCGCGCCGCTGCCAGTGGATTGCAAGACCGACACAAAAGAGCAACAATGGGGGTTCTGTACAGATGGTACTGTGCGGGCAGAAATGACATTCTCGTTCTTCCATGCAGCTTCAGTTCGTCTGGTTATATAGTTTGGCAATATAGGGACTCTGATAAAGCCATTGTAAATGGTGCCCACTGAAAATGGTAATGGATTTGCGCAGCTCTACAACAACAGTCCCTCGACAAATAATTCTTTGGCCAACAGATAATGGAGCAAACCAGCACTGGTATCTTGAAATCATGACTAATCCTGCTCAAATTAAAGGAAACAAATTATTATTTTCCTATAATAGTTACGTTACTTTAACATGAATAAATATGGCTGCGGCCTCTGTTAAATCGTCCTTGTGATGCAAGAAATTTTTTTTCTAGTACTAGCCATTATTTTCTTGCTGAGGTTAGAAAGACTTTCCAATAATTTCCAAGTTGGTTCAATATTTTTTTCCTTTATTGGATTTAGAATTAGTTTATTAAATTTCCAAATTTATTTAGAGCTTTTTCCTAGTTTTGTTTAGGATTTTTACTATTTTTTTAATTGCCGGTTTTCTTGTTAGTTTATATCAAATTTTAGGTTTATTTAAGAAGTTGTAAACCTTTTTAAAAAACCATGTTATAAAAAAAAAAATTCAGTAATAAAATTATAAATTAAAATTTCTCAATGATAATGTATAATCAATAAAACTCTATATTTTTGTATTTATTGTCTTTCTTTGTGCTTATTGTGTGCTGCAATCCTAGGTTGTTTTGCTTGTCATGTGCTATTAAATAAACATGGCTAGAAAATGTCATAGAGCAGAATATATTTAGGTAAGAGGGAAGTAAGAGGGGACGAGAAGGTTCCCGTCAAGAGAGAAATATTCAAGAGCTAATGATAGAAGACAAGTATATATAAATTGTAAAATTAACCTGTGAATGAAGGATCATAAAAACAGTAATTATATATCTATGAACAATTTTAAAAATCCATTTTAAGAGCATGAGTAGAGGAGGTGGTACCTTTTTAATCTAGACAAGAATTGTGGAGATTTTGGTAATCATACTTATAGTGAAAGAGTTGTAAATTGGTATTCTCTATTAATTTATGATATTTATTTTGATGATGATATCATAAATAATAATAATAATGGTATCATTGATGTTGTCCATGTTGATAAGTTAGAAGTTGAATACAAAAAAAACATGAAATGCAATCAATAATTTTTTTAAAAAATTTATTTAAGCTATGTTGATTTTTTTTATTACAAAAAGTTTATTATTATCACAAAAATAGATATATTCAAGTGTCATATAGATGCAAAGCATATTCATGAAGTTGGAGATCTGAAATTTATTATTGTAAAAGTCAATGAAAAAGAAATAAATTATTAATTGTTATTTCTTATATAAATTTTAAAATGAAGGGATTGAAGTCGATATCTAAAAATATTATATAATTGAAACAAATAAAAAAAAAAGCTAGTGATTTTTGAATGGATATTCACAAGATCGAGATAACAATAATTTAATCTTGAAGATGAATTCTTTTCAACATGAGGAGATTGATGTAAGTAATTTTTTTTTAATATGTAATTTTATGTTAATGAACATAATTTTTAATTTGATTGCTATATCAAACTGGAATTTTATTAAAAGATTTTTATATGTTCTTTTTCTATAAGATTAAAACTTTCCAGCAATTGAGGATCAAGAAGGTCTTCTAATAATACCTAAAATTTACTATTTGAGATTTGTTATATTTTTCTAGTTGTTTTATGATTTGATTCTCTATTTGGTTAGAATTTTTTTATATTTTTTTAGCTTTATTTATAATTTTTCTTCTAGTTTGTTTAGGATTTTTATTATATTTTTTTTATTTTCAAGATTCCTTGTTGATTTATGTCAAATTTTAGATTTATTTAAGGAGAGGAAGATTAAATAAAAATAAATATTTAATAATAAAATTTCAAATTAAAATTTTTATATAATCCCTTTTTGTGTGTATGTGTTTGGTTTCTTCTTCTTCTTCTTGTTTTTCGTACTTCCACCTATATCATCTTGTGTTTCAGAGCCCAGCAATCCGAGATTATTACTTGGTATGTACTGCAATCGCATCTCGTTTTGTTTATTGTGTGCTGCTAAGATATGGATAATCCTTGTAATAA